TAATTTTTATGTCATTAAAATAATGACTATATCATTATATAGTATAAAATATGATATTATTATGATAATTATTGTGTCATTTTTGTGTCATTTATAATATTCTAAAAATTTTATTAAATTTCAACTCATGGTACTAAATTTTACCATTTAGTTAGTGTAATTATCAGAATTTTCTATCCACGATTGAGCACTCTAAATTCTAACCATTCACTACACATGTACAAGTAAAAAGAATTATCTACCACATAACAAATAAGAAAAGTGAAAGTACTATGTTGATTGTTGCAATTTTTATTGAATGACACATATTACATTATTAAGTTTCGTCGATACTTTTATTACCTGTCACAAATCCTTAATAGGGTTCACAATTATGAGTCTATGGTCATGGCTATCCAAATATTCAAACTGCTTTCTCTTAAAAAAAGAAAAAAAAAAAAAAAAAAAACGAAACATTTCTCATTGCAAAATGAAATCCTAATCCCAATTTCCTTATTTATCTTTGGAAACTGCAATTTCTCTAAGTTGCAGCCAAAAGTATAAACAACCAATTATACTAATATGGCCAAGGATCAATTCAAAGCAGCCAATCTAGGATCTCAAGACAATTATATTAGATATCTCATATTTTCGGAACAAATTAACATGTAATAATTAAAAAAAAGCACATGCATGAAGATCGTCCATGCACGAGAAGTAGACAAGTTTATAAGAACAAAATAGTACTACTTGTAGATTAAACATACTTAATGGTATTTCTCCCAAAGAAGTATATAATATTAAATCATCATAATATTAATTATTGGCAAGAGCTACCTAAAACAATATTTAAAGTAAAAAATAGAAGGAAACATTAATGCATGATTAAGCTTCAATTCTCGAGTCAAACAACCATGCAGCAGGGGGGGAAAAAAATGAATTGTTTTGTCAACTTTATCTTAACAAGAAGCACTTCACGCTCATTATTAGAGAGTTCCACACTTTCTCTACGTTTCCTGGACTTTTTTTCGCTGAATAAACTTCTTTATTGAAAACGCCAAAAGGCCGACTCATGGTGGCCACAGAGAGAACTACCTTCTCAAGATATTAAAAGAACATCTGCTACCTTCGTCTAGGATTCCGCCTCAAGGCATAATTTGCGCTTTTTCATGCGCAAATTCAAAACAAATCGAGACTCGATAATCGACAGTAGGAGTAGGTACCATGGTGTCCTAGTTTATCCAGGCTGCGTCGTCCAATAGTGATTCCTCAACATCCGAGCTCCTACAATGCTCCTGAAACCTGTCAAAATTAAAACTGAGAACAAAATATCCTCGAAAGCTAGCAAGCAGAGACACCTCTAAATAGCAGGCCATTCCTAATTCTACTTCCAAATCTCTTATAAACACATAGCGCCCCAGAGAATGAAGTACTCCTTCGACTCAACACCCAAAGGCAGAGAAAGGAGCCATTCAACCAATTCTGATGTGGATTTAAAAGTTGAAAGCGAATCGACCTAACCAACGAGACCCTGCTAAATAGTGGAAAAGAAAATGACAGAGAACTTAAAATATTCAACATTCTCACTGAATTTTATGTAATTAGCTCTATCTATAGAGCTAATTAGTTAAAACATCACATATTACAAACACACACACTAATCACTAAAGCTCTTCATAGAGAGCTTATTTTAAACATCGTAAATACATTTCAAATCATTCCTTATGCGAACTATATCATGTTAATAATAGTCAGTTAAACCGACAAATATTAACCATTGTACTCTTGGAGATTTGAATTTAACTCGTCCATATTACAATATTATATTGGTGATCTTATCCTAAAGTGATAAGTGAAAGCCAATGGCATCCAAGAGTTCACCGGTTCCTTGAATTCCAGTGTAGGATCCATCGTCTCAATCACTACCACCGGGCCCTCCCCATGGTCCCACAACTATTGTTTGACTTTTTCCACTGGTCTGTGTGTTCGTGCTTGTGCCCGCCTACAATATATATATATATATATATATATTGAAATTTTACAATATTGCATTAGATGTGCTCAGTCTTCAACCTTTTTATACATATGTAATTTCAGTTTTATAAGAAACTGTCAAACATCTAACATATATAACACGTTCTTAAATTCGTTCATGGTTTTAGAAAATGGATCATGCAAGTAAAAGAAGCATCTGAACCTTTTTCGATCATACATCTTTTTTTTGTTCTTTTTTTTTTTTAACAAAAAAATGAAAACTTAGAATACTTTTTTAATTACTGGTTGTTTGTAATCGAAAACTAACAAGTAACTTTGGACTAATTGATAAAGAGACAAATGGAAAATGATAAAACTAAGAAAAGAAAGTTCAAGTAGAACGGTCGTGATTTGAAGACTCGGTTTTTCAGTGTGTGCGTGTCTTTTTCAGACACATAAAACTTAAAATACTTTTTAAATTACTGATCGTTTGAAATGGAACTGGGACATTCTTTGGTACGTCAACATACAAGTGGGTTAAGTTTTATGTCTGTCAAATCTACATAAAATCACGTAAAAGTAAAAAAATATGTAGATCTAACGGTTAAAAAAACATGACCTACTGATATGTTAAGCGTGTTAGACAATCTCCCAAACTATGTACCCCGACCAGCTTGTTGAAACAAATGAAAAATGATTATAAACAAAAAAAGAAGGTTCAAGTAGCACGAAAATATAGTCCACTTGAGAGGATCATAATACGGAAAAACCTTAGCAAAAGCGTATATATGTGTATATATGTTTATATGTATATATATATATATATGCATATATCTTGTATGAATAATAACACACTCATTTTTATATCTCGAGACTAGAGACTAGAGGACCTCACCATTGAATGCGCTTTCGGAATATGAGAATTGAGAAGGGTGTGAGTTTGGTTGGCTGGATAATTAGCTCAATTTATAGAGATTGCAAAAGCTATGCAAGTTATTTTGGAATTTTGTGCTTGTTTTGGCAGCACGAGAAAAATGTTTAATTGTTTGTAGGTAGATATTAGACTTGAAAATGAGCACAATTGGAATATCTTATAATATAATTCCGTTTTTTTTTTGTTGGGTTTTATGGATTATTTTAATCTATGATAGTCTTTTTTTTTTTTTTTTTCAGGGAACTATTATTATCAATTTTTTTTTTCAAAATAACCAATCAATAGAAGTTCGTATTTATCTTATAAGGAATAGTACGCGGCAGAAGACAATGAGGGCAACAAAGTCCGTTTAGTTCATGGATTAGAACCATGTGATTAGAATAATTTTTGATTTACATGTATTTTTTGTGAGAGAAAATACTGTAGCGAACCACGAATCATGATTCGAATCAGAGAACGAATCCCTCTACCAAACATCAAGGGTTATGTTTAACATGTGAGCAAAGAAGACAAAATATGAAATGGAAGTCTATATTTTATTTTATTTTATTTGTTTCTGAAGATGGTAGAAGTTTGTTTGGTAAGAAGTATTTGAACATTTTTCTCGTGGTTGGTAATCTATACCTTTCACATTTTTATCTGTAATTCCACTATTATATCTCAAAAAATCTAATCCGTATCAAACAGTTTTAAAATTTGTTATTTATTTAATTTAAAAATATACTATTTATTACATTCTCTCTTATTATTTTAATCATTGAATTAATTTTTTAACATCTGATCTATTTATGAGTATCCACATTATATAATCGATTCTTTTTTCAACCTTTCTTTTACAAGTTTCCAAACAAAAAAATATATATATGTTATTTGTTTTCTCAACCTTCTTTTACAATATTTTTTTTAGGTCACGTTTAAAATCTTAAAATGTGATATTTTAAAAAACTCCATGAGTAATTCCGGCCATTGGTTGCAACAGAGGATTGTGAATTAAATTCCGGCCATCGATTGCAACAGAGAATTGTGAACATTTAAGGCCCCATTAATTTCGTCGATTTGAGTTTAAAATTTGAGTTTTGTTACAATAAAAAACTCTCATAAATAATCACATTTAATTTTTTTATTACAGTAAAAAATTCTCACATAACGTTACATTTTAATTCAAATTAAAAATTTAAATCAACGAACTAAACAAAAATATATAAAAAATTACTTTCATCATCAATAACAAATCTTCTCTGAAACATAACTCCTCATGCAGACACATAAACCCTCTCTCTGAACTTCCGTACTCCGTATATATTCCTTGAAGCTTACTTTTCAGAGGCGTTCAATACAATATCACAAAACGAAACAAAAATAAAAAAATAATAATAATAATAATAATCTCTGTAAGATGCATGTAGTTCCACCAAGATGAACAAAACAAAAGGCCCATTGCTTGAAACCGAAAGGAAAGAAAAAGAAAAGAGCAAATATTTTCCTCCTCCGAAAAATGTGGAAACACATATTGGGCCTAACAAGATTTATGACAAAGATAGTTCTTTGATTCATTATAAGTCCAAATATGGAACTGCCAAAAAAGAAAGAGAGTTAAAAGTCTATGGCCATGGCTATCCAAATATTCAAACTGCTCTATGAAATGAAAACATATTTCATTGCCAAATAAAATCCTAAACCCAATTTCCTTGTGGATCAAAGCACTTTTCCCACATAAACAAATATAAAAATGAAAAAGGAGCTTCAAAGACAAGCTTACTTGTGAGATCATCAAATAGTTGTACAAACACACATAGCAGCACAATAAACACATGCAAAATCTCATTGAAACTATAAACATAAATGCTCTATGGCATTTCTTTCAAGGACAAGGAAGTTAGGAAGTTCATATGCAAACATAGATCACCCTTCGCGATTTGCTTGTTGCAAGTTCGATCCCGCATTGTATAATAAAAAATAAAAATAAAAAAATAAAAAAAAAACATAAGCTTACTCAACTGTAAACTCAATACAGATTACTGAACGCAAAGTGCATTTCCTACAAAACTAAAAAATATTACCCCTCAGGTACCTGAGCTAAGTTTGTTAACATTATTTGGAAAGTCAGGGCTGGTGAGGAAAAACAGTCGAGACACGGATTTCTTATTAATACATCCTAATACATGCGATTATCAATTTTCCATCGAACAATGAGGCGCAACAGTGGAATCTCCGAAGGGAGAAAAGAAAAAGATGAAAGTAATATTCAATATCTCTAAACCTCTGCCCAAAGGAGACATTTTCTTGCAGCCTCTATAAGCAGAATGTGGAATTGACAAGAAAAGCAATTTTTTGCTATTGGAATAGAAACGTTTGCAACAGAATCGCCAATGATGTAAATAATAAGCATACCAAATTATACATCCGAGACATTTATATTATCATCTGAGTCAAAAGGGCTTTTCATACTCCTGTGCTGGTGGCTGCTCCCAGGGCCTCAAGAAGGCTACACATAGTTTACAAAGCAGTTAGGATAAACAAAATGGCTGGAAAAGGATTAAAGAAAACAAGGAGAAGTATCATAAAATAGTGACAGTTAAAAACTACAAACCGGTTCTTCTTGCAGCAATGTTCCTAAATTTTGGCAAATGCATGGCAGAAAATTGGAGATAGAAAACTAATGCCAGCCTTTTATCTTTATTATTACTTGTTGTCGCTAAGCAGCTTATGAAAAACTTCTCATTTAAGAAAAAGGTAAACTAATCGATCAACCTATTTTATCTTCACAATCTAGGATCTCAAGAAAATTAGATGTGTCGTATTTTGTGGAACAAAACATGTGATAACAAAAAGCACATGCAGCCAGATCAATGATCATCTACAGAAACTCGAGAATTTTATACAAATAAACAAATACTACTAGATTAAAGAGATGGCATACTTAATGGTATTTCTCCCAGAGACATGTATATCGAATCGTCATCGGCAAGAGCCCCCTGAAACCATTAAGTGAAATGGAAACATTAGTGCATAATTAAGCTTTAATGCTCCAGTCAAACAACATAAGATCAACTTAGAAAAGAGACAATTATGCAACAAGCATGTGTAAACAGAGTCATCTACGTAATTAGGACAGCCTTAATATGCACCAAAACTAGACTGCATCACCATCAAACATGCAGATGCTTAAATTAGTCAGTTGTGGTACCTCTCCATTATGAAGACCGATATCGTTATGCAAGGGATTGATGTTCTCAGGTACAGAAGAACAATTTGGGAAATCGTTTCCGAGCAACTCCGAGATCATAAGCCCATAACCATCTTGGACATCAGGTATATCACCGGTGTTCTGTGCATGGTTAGGGAAGCCCTCCAGATCAGTGTACACTGTCTCTGTCCTGTACATTTGAACAACATATTTTTAACAGCAAGAAAAGGCATGGCAAGGAAACAAAGGTATGTCGAATAAATTGTAATTGCATGTCATTGGAAAGGAAGAAAGAAATAAAAGAAACTGGATCATTGATTCCCTTTCTGGTTTTAATTTACTATAGGGGGAGCGAAATTGGACCAACCCAATTCTCTCTAGTGTTTACTAACTTTTGGAAGTAAAATTGGAACAACCCAATTCCTATTCTTGTGTTTACTAACTTTAGGAATAGGAATCCTAATAGCTTGGGCATATATTACCAGGTAATTTTATGGTTCTTCCCAGTACGAGGGGTGACCTGAAGATTGACTTTCTATTCCTCATATCCGACATTATCTGGGCTCTATCTCTGGCTTTATACATATATACATAAATAGGTAGGAAAGGAAAAACACTCTCCCTTTTCCTTTTCCCTTCATGATACCTAAAACTACATTTGTCAAGCATAGTTAAAACTTAGTAACAATGTTATTGGAAGATTAAACTACAACATCAAAATCATATTGCTGATAAGAGAAACTCACTTTCTATCTTCAATGACCATGTCCTTCTCCTCTTGTGCACAATCATTTTCCAAGTCTATAACTTCAATCTCCTTGGCATCAATTGGTCTTCTACTGGTCTCCCCAGCTGGATTAGTGGAGTTACTAATCGACAAGTCGACGTCTATCGGCGAGGCCTCTCTTTTCATCGGCGGGTAGATCATAATCGGATTGGCATCACGACTCTCATGCGCATCAGAAACCTCCATGAGATTAAGGTCACAGATCTTGAACGAGCTTGGGAAGAGCTGCTTCTCCTGCGAAAACTCGACACTATGTTCTTCATCTCCATGTTTGGAGAATTGGGAATTGTCCACCATTGAGTCCTCCCGTGAACCAACTTGTTTTTCACTCAAATTAGATATGTTGTTAAAGCAATCACCTTCCTCCATAGCCACAGAGGCAGCAGAAGAAGGAGGCCAATCTCTAGCTCTTTTGGCTCTCTCTTCCTGCCCATTATCATCGCCCTCACCCTCTTCTAAATCTCGCTTCTCCCCTCTTTCCCGTCTTGATGAGCTCGCGCAATTTTCGCGCTCGAGATCATAAACATCGCCAACTCGTCCAACATTATCAGCAGCTGATTTAACAGTAAGCATTCCTGAAGAATTCTCAGACGCCAAGACTTCTTTATCCTCTTCGGAAGCCGGAATTGGAATCGGATCGACCTTCGGGGCGGTCTTCCACGTCTTGGAATAGCGCACTGTGGACGGGACCTTCGCAAACTTGCAAATTGTTCGAAGATCAGGAGCAGTATTGTTGGAGGAATCATCATGATCATAATGATGATCATCATCATGATCATCATTCTTATCAACCACCATCATCTTTGAAGATGATGCTTTATCAAAATTCTGCTTTTCAGCAGAGTCTTCAACTGTCGGATTATCGCCCTCAGTTTGCTTAAAGTTCAAATCTTCACCATCACTATCATCATCAGAATCAGGTGTTGGTGCTGGTGGTGCTGCTACCATTGCCGGTTCTTCTTCGTTTTTGGAAGGCAAGTTCTCCGCCGGACGAGGAGTCGGCTCCGAAATAGAATTGCCATCGCCAGCGACATCGCCGTCGCTATCGATATCAAAATCAGGCGAATCTCTGGGGAATCTGTCGTGAAAAGAGGGAGTTCTGGAATAATCGCGTCCCCAATCGGAGGAGCCATAACCTCGGAAAGGTCTTCTCCTTGCGGAGCCCTTACTCCTGAACTCATCAACGTTGAATCTCCTCCTAACCGCCGGATTCCCTAACCGGGAGAGCGCGGAGGCCCGTCCCTCCGCCGCCCCAGCTAGACTATCGGCGGAATCCGGCGGCGGTGGCGGTGGGCGGAGGAATGATCTCTTGTAAGCGGCGGCGGCGGCGACGGAGGAGGAGGAGGAAAGGACGGTTGGGGGTAAGAGGCCCTGGGAGACGAGGTACTCCGCGGCGAGACGGCCGGCTTCGGCGAAGACGTCGGCTTTGCGCGGCGGCTGAAAGGAGCTGGCGCGGCGCGGCTGAGGCGGCGGTGGTGGCGGGGGAGGAGGAGCGACGCCGAAGCAGGAAGAAGCCGATGACCTGTAGCCATTTCCCGGACTCCGATGGCGGTTATGCATTTCTCTTTTTTGGGTTTTTTTGTAGAGAAGTAAGGGTTTAAGCTAGTTGGGATCAAATTCCATGGAATTGTAAAGTGGAAACAAGAGATATTACAGACAGATCGATTGATGAAGATGACAAAAGAAAAAAAAAAATATATTTTTGGTTAGTTTTGACTGCGGCGGAGGGCATAAAAGACTATCTTTATTTTTAATTTTTAACAATAATAATAAAAGAAAAGGAAGTAAATTTTGTTTTTGCTTTGATTTTTAGAAGAAGAAGAAGAAGAACTGAAGAAGAAGATATTTGATGTCTGAAAGAGGAGAGGAGCTTCTCAAAGAAATATAATAAATAATAATAAAAAAAGAAAGAAAAATCCCACCACCTTTCATTTTATTTCACCAAACAGTTCCTTCCTCCCAACTAAAAAGCTGTTTCTTTTTTCTTTTTAGTTAAAATCCATTTTTTTGTCGTAAATACTAATATTATCTTTTTTAAGATTATTTTCATAATTACTCTTGAATTATGTATTTTATTTTAAAATTTAATATCACTTGATATATAAAAAGATGAGTCAAATTATTCTCTGTCTATTTTCATTTATAATTTTAGATTCTATTAATTTTATTAATTTAAATTTAAAATTTAAAATTTATTATAATAAAACATTTTAAAAAAAATTACATTTAATTTTTTTATTATAATAAAAAAATTTTATATAAAATTATATTTTAACTCAAAATAAAGAATTAAATGAACCCTTAATTAATCTCATATGACACGTCATTAGAGGTTAACTAAACGAACCTCGGATCAGTCGCTACAGTTGCACAATTTCGAAGAAGGCGATAGTTTCGTCTTTTTTTATAAGTATTAAATTCTGATTAAATTTATAAAATGATAAAATATTAAAAAATAAATTAACTAATAATAAAAAACACAGTCTTCTTCTTCCCCTTCACCTCTTAAAGTGCAGACTGCAGACTAAAATAGCAGCCCTAAATCATATGAAAAGCTCGAACACATCCAATTCAAATCTTATTCAAACACCTCTAAAATAAGAAAATCAGTTAAGATAGAGAAAAACCCGAATTTAAAAAAAAAAAAAAAAAAAAAAAAAAACCAGAACTGTAACAGCAACCATGGCGGCCACCACCCCATCGTCCCCACTCTTCTGCGACCAACACCTACCATCCCCATGGCCGTGCAACCCAAGCCCCGACGCCCTCATCCACATGCGAATAAGTCGATCAACGTCAAGATCGAGGGGATCTTCTGAAGCACGCAAAAGAAATTCATCTGAAAAATGAGATTTGAAGATTTTTGGAGAGAGAGAGAGAGAGAGAGAGAGAGAGTGTGTGTGAAATTTGGACTCAGACTCACTGAGTTGAACTGTCGAAACCCAAAAAACAGGAATCACGAGGCAAAGAGAAATCCTCCATTGGAGTGACACAAAAAATCTTTAATTACTCAAACAGAACTAGTTGAAATTCATAATAATGCCCAAAAATCTTTATTCATTTACGTCAAACTTACCCAAACTTGCCATGTCAGTTTTTTTATTTTTATTTTTACTTTTTTACGAGGGTGGGTGGGTGGTGGACTTGGTCATTAGGAGGGGTGGGGATGCTGTCTGAGAAATGAGAGGACGACAATTCTGGGAGCCAAATAATTAGTTTTTTTTTTTTAACTTCTTTTTTATTTTAATATTTAATATTTATTCATAATTAATCTTTAACCATGTGCAGCGTCACCAAATCCGTTAAATTTCTACACGGAAGTGGATGGAGGAATAATTTGATTTGTTTTGCATAGATTATGGAGTATTTTGAACTGTTTTGAAAATAATCTTTTTCTTTATTAGGATAAAAAACAAATTATTTTCTTGTTGATATAGGTTCTGGGATTTTTGTTTTTGTTTTTGTTTTTTTTTTTTTCTGGGAATTGAGGGAAAGTTTATGTATTATTTCCAAGCTCCAGAAAAGGAAAAAATTTACGCAATATTTACTAATGTAGTAATAATGTATATTAGTGAAAAGTGTAAATTAATATTTGGCATTTGTGAAAAGTTGGGGGATTTTAGAGGCCTTTTGTTTAACTAATTTTATAACGTACGCACCGTGCGTATTGTGGTGTTAGAAATATCTAAAAATTATATTATTTATTAAATAATGAAAATTTTATTTGTGCAATAATTTTAAAATTTTTGAATTTATTTAAAAAATATGTATAAAAATAACAATTAATCAAAAAAATAATTAAATAAGAACACATTAAAAAAATTATTTTAACTAATTAAAAATAAAATAAAAACACATGCGAAAAAATTACTCTTATGTGGGTAAAGAAACAACATATTTAAAAAAAAATACACAAAAAATTAAAATGTTAAAAAAATTTAAAAAAGTAAAGATAAAAAAGTAAAAAGAAAATAATTGAAGGGGCTTAAATCTGTTATGCATTGTTAGATTAGCAAAAGAAAAAAAAAACAACAAACAATTATTATCGTAAATTAAATTAATTAAAAAGATCGTCGTTTTAATCACCAAGAGGAAAAGAAAAAAGTCAGCAAATTTAGATGAATTAGTCGATCACTTCTCTCCTGGGGCAAAACTCGAGGGACATCAAGTATAGTGGAGACATTACAGAAGAAGGGAAAAGTGAGGAACAATTCAGTGAGGACAAAAAAAAGAAAAACCAAAAGAATTTCCTATTCTGAGAAAAATTGTTGTCCTCAATTTTTGGAATATTTTTTTTCCTTCTTCTTTTCTTCAATTAAGACAAGAGAGACAGATTTTGCAGAACGAAGAAGAAGAAGAAAGAAAGAGGAAAGAGATTGGGAAATGTCGTCAGGTGAAGATTACGCGGCAGAATCCACTCATCTCCTCAGATCTTCCAATCATGAAAATCCTCCCACGGCGGCGAAAGAAGCCGACAACGACGGCGACTTGGAAGCTCAGGAGGATCCATTAATGGCGAGATCAAGGTCCAATTCCAATTCCACTTCCACTTCCTCCGCTCTCAAGGATCTCTTCACCAGGCACTTCGATCCGCCTTTCTCCCCTCGCCGCCTCAGTTTCAAGCGCCTCCACCGCGATCGCGAGCGGGATCGGGATCGAGATCGAGAGCGTTCTTCCGCCGCCATTGAAGAGCTTCATTATGTTTCTTCTCCTTCTAATTCTAATTCTAATGGCGACGCCGTCGATGTTCTTGGCGACAGCGCCCCTCCCGAATGGGCGCTTCTGCTCATTGGCTGCCTTCTTGGCCTCGCCACCGGTCTCCTTGTCGCCGCTTTCAACAACGGAGTATGCTCTTTTCCTCTTTCTCCATTTTCTTTTAATCTTTCTCTATTACATTCTTTGGTTTGTCTGTTTGATTATGAGAAGAAGAATCTCAATTGTTGAATACAATTTCTCATTTATTCAACATTTTGATTCTGATTTTTTTTTTTTTTTGTTGATTCGATAGAATTGGAATTTGTTTGATGCGGAAAGCTACAGTTTTGATGAACTTTACTGCTAAATTCTACAACAATGTTGTGGTCAAAACTTACCTTTCTTATATATAGTATCTGTTTCTCTTCTTATGAAGGTTGTTAGCCTTTATATCTCATTCTTTGCTCTTCTTCTTAAGGTTGCAAGTTTCGAAAGCCGCCGTCTTTCATGGATTTTTCGTCTCATGTTCATGGAAATTGATTGCGATATGTTATTTTCTTTAATATCCACTGGTATAGAGTACAAAATCCTATAAACTTTTAGTTGCTGGGGCATTTTTCGTTTCTATTTATTCTGTTAGAAGAAAAAGATACGAACTTGGATGCTGTGATCAACACTCTCAATTTATTATCAAAAAGTTGTTATTTTTTTCATTCTGTACTTAATTTAAATTTGTTAATCAGCTCAAAGCTTAGTTTCAAGGATTCTTTTTAAGCTACAGCGATGTAAATTTGCGTTCTTTGTCATGGCACTTGCTTGTTAACATGCTTCTTATATTGTGTTCCTCGTTTTAATTTTGGATAATTTATCCTTTGTCGTGGGACACTGTTTTCTTGTTCATTTCATTCATATGGAACAGTAATGGTGTATTGCTATTTATTTCGGTTTACGTTTTACTTCAGTATTTTGTTAGATCTTTTTAGTTAGTGACACCATAGTGTTCTTCTAGGTACACGTTATACATGAATGGGCCTGGGCTGGTACTCCAAACGAGGGGGCGGCTTGGCTTCGTTTGCAGAGACTGGCTGACACTTGGCATAGGATTCTTCTAATTCCGGTCACGGGAGGAGTTATTGTTGGAATGATGCATGGTTTAGTTGAAATATTGAACCAGATAAAGCAGTCTAGTTCTTCTCATGGACAAGGATTTGATTTGCTTTCTGGAGTCTTTCCCACAATAAAGGCAATCCAGGCTGCTGTTACTTTAGGTACTGGTTGTTCTTTGGGTCCAGAAGGCCCTAGTGTAGATATTGGAAAATCATGTGCAAACGGATTTTCACTAATGATGGAAAACAACAGAGAAAGGAAGATTGCCCTTGTTGCAGCAGGCGCAGCAGCAGGCATTTCTTCAGGTACCTGGAATTTTTCTGGCTTTCCCTTTTCCAATCAATACCTTTTTACAAACATACATAATACTGCTGAACTTTTTCATTTTCTTCGTAAATAACGGGGTATAGTAGAGGGAGTTTCCAGAATACTTCATAAATGTTCAGTTCAGTAAGATTGCGTCTTAGTAATCGTCGTTTTTTTCCCCTTCAGGTTTTAATGCAGCAGTTGCTGGTTGCTTCTTTGCCATTGAAACTGTGCTAAGGCCTCTCCGTGCAGAAAACTCCCCTCCATTTACTACTGCAATGATTATATTGGCCTCTGTTATATCATCCACTGTATCGAATGTTTCCATGGGGACACAGTCAGCCTTCACAGTGCCTGCATATGATCTGAAATCTGCTGCTGGTATTGAACTTCTCTCCCCGTCTCTCTCTCATATCCAGGATATTTATCTCTTTTACGTACAACATACAATTACAAGTAATTTAATTTACACTAAACGTTCTATGGATCAAAACTTACTGCAACTATTTATCGAAGCTATGTGAATATGTGAACATGTTTGATCTGGCTTTGCAGAACTACCTTTGTACCTGATATTGGGCATGCTATGTGGTGTCGTTAGTGTAGCCTTTACTCGTTTGGTTGCTTGGTTCACTAAGTTATTTGAATTCATGAAGGAAAAGTTTGGCCTTCCTCCCGTAGTGTGCCCTGCTTTGGGGGGTTTAGGAGCTGGAATAATTGCTCTCAAGTATCCCGGAATACTATACTGGGGTTTCACAAATGTCGAAGAAATACTCCACACTGGGAGGCTTGCTTCAGCTCCTGGAATCTGGCTGTTAACTCAACTATCAGCTGCCAAAGTTGTGGCCACAGCTTTGTGCAAGGGCTCTGGGCTTGTAGGTGGCCTTTATGCCCCAAGTTTGATGATTGGTGCTGCTGTTGGTGCTGTATTTGGGGGTTCAGCTGCTGAAATTATCAATTACGCAATTCCTGGAAATGCTGCTGTTGCGGAGCCACAGGCATATGCACTGGTACCATGGCCCTTTACAACAAGCTTCTTTTGACTTTTACAAATTTACTGCCATTGCAGTTATCAAAATGTATATTGAGGCACGTATCCAATTAAAGTACTCTCTAAATTCTTCAGGTTGGAATGGCTGCAACTTTAGCTTCAGTTTGTTCGGTGCCTTTGACATCAGTTTTGCTTCTGTTTGAGCTGACAAAAGATTACAGAATACTGCTTCCTCTTATGGTAATCTTTGGTCTTGCAAACATATCTCTTTTGTGATTCCTCCACCACCTCATCTTTCCATTCAAGTCGTTTCAGAGGATGAAAACTCAGATTTTTCATCTTCTCTCTCCCTCCGTGCGTCTATCTTTTAGTCAATTGTACTGTTAGACAAAGAATAACGATCACTGACATTTTCCCCCCTCTTTCAAAGAAGATAGTGGAAGGTAGCTTAGCTTGTATTGCATAAACCTTGTTCTCTTTTGTAAATGCAACTATATTCTTATGCAACCCAACTCAGAAACCATTTCTTCCAACAAGTTTTGCTTATCTTATAAAAAAAAGTATTCCATATTGCTTTGTATCCGATGTGGTCAAACAATATGACTGGCATGTTCTCCTCCTTTTCTGATATGTTGAATACATTATTCTTATGAACACCATAAAGATTGAAAAATTGTTAGAACTTTTCTTTCTAACTGTTAGAGATGATGATAACTCTAGTTAGAAAATATAGTTCCCCTGTTAAAATAAAATTATCAGTCATCTTAGACATTACATTTGACTATTTTTCCCAATTTATCTTTTATGTTACTTAAGTAGATTTCTTCCTTGGATGCCACTAGATGTCGTCCGCAGCATACAAATTGTCACTCTTTCTGTTCCCATTGTTCTTTTTCTCAGGGGTTTTAATTGTAGTGTATTTTGCATGTAGGGGGCTGTTGGATTGGCAATCTGGGTTCCTTCAGTTGCAAACCAAAGCAAGGAGGCCGAAACATCTGATTCGCGAAATTTGGCAAGAGGCTGCTCTTCTATTGTGCCTGTCGAAGATAAAGATGTAGGTTGGAGACGTGTTAATAATGGAGATGATAGAGAGCTCTCTGTGATGGAGAACAGTGCTTATTTTGAAACTGTTAAGGAAGATATTCTTCTGGAAGATCTAAAGGTTTCACATCTCTTCCCTTCTTCACTATTGAGGCATAAAATGAAAGGAGAGAAAAATCGGATCTTCCAGTTATTGGATTGGCCATTGTTCCTCCTTGTATTTCAATTTTTATTTATTATCTAAAGCAGACTTCTTTGGCTATATTATTATTTTCCGTTTTTTTTTTTTCTCCTGTCCATTTGTTGCACACCCTCAATCATGCACTCCTCTTTGCTGTCAGGTTTCTCAGGCCATGTCAAAGAACTATGTGAAGGTTTCTCTTGCTATGACTTTGAAAGAGGCCATGAAATACATGCATGATAGCCAGCAGAACTGTGTGATGGTGGTCAACGACGAAGACTTTCTCGAAGGAATTTTGACATACGGTGATGTTAGGCGGTATCTATCCAAGAAGTCTGTCGATGTTTCCAAATCTGACTCAAGATATCCGGATGTAAGTGGTGATGAACACAAATTTACATCCCTTCTTTCTGAATAATGATAAGCCACCAAATTTTGATTTCAACCAAGATTTTGTTTTTGTTTTTTCATTTCTATTGGCTTAGGATCTTTGCATTTTATTTTCCTTAATCTCCATATATTAGATATTATGTTTTACAGGAAACTACATGTCTTGCTTCTTCTGTTTGCACCCGAGGGATTATCTATCAAGGGCAGGAACGCGGTCTACTAACCTGTTATCCAGATACAGATTTAGCAATTGCCAAGGAGCTAATGGAGGCCAAGGGTATCAAACAGTTGCCGGTGGTTAAGCGTGGCAGAGAACCTTTAAGAGAGAGGAAGCGGAGGATAGTTGCTATTCTTCACTATGATTCAATCTTAAACTGTCTCAGGTTCTCAGTTGTTCTTGGCCTCTTATTCTGTTTCATGATACCTCGTTTTTCTTCATATTATCATTGCTCGTTTCAAAAATCAGTTTTTTCCTCTTCTACTAGTAGTTTTTATGTTTGAGCAGGTTGGTGCTTGAAGTTTGAGTAATTTATTTTGACCTTTGTGAGACAAAGGAGACAATATGGTCAAGATATATAGAAAATTTGACGTAATATTTTTTAATGCATTATGCATGTTAGTTAGCCTTAGAGTCACGAAGTTAGATTAGTCCATTGAACTAAATTAGTTAGTACTCCAATATAACATGCAAGTTTATCATACAGGTTTTTGCTTCTGACTGTTAATAAATGTTGTCTTGTGTGCGCAGGGAGGAGATAAATCGCCGGAAATCGGGGCATCAGTATAGAACAGAAAACAATCATGACGAGATCAATGGCCTAATATTAATTCAGTGAGGCACCTACTTATACTCGTGAAATCTCGGGCTGGGAATGGCACCTGCAAAGAAAAGTTAAAAGCTGCACAACTCTGTTCAACCGGTTAAAGCAAGAGAACGAGCATTATAATTTAGAACCGGCGCTTGGTTTTCTGCTTGATAGAGTCGGGTGACGCAAAGATCTCGGGGGCTTTTCATCTGAGGGTTCAAAATTTTAAGGTGGGATTTGTTTGTACTTGATATTCCGAGTGTTCCAAGCAAAAGGAAAAGGAAAATAAAGTGTAGGCTATTGATTCAGTGTAAGTTGGCAATTTTCACCTTGTAAATGGATTATACCATTCATGTGATGTAACTTACTATCCGAAATCGCATTAAAGAGCATAACATTATTGAGATAGTAAAAACAATAATAAAAAATCAAAAGTTGAAGCCAAAATTGAACTATATAAATGCATGTGATGGCATGGACTCTGCTTCTTCATTGCGTGATTATATTAATAATATCCTGAAAACGAAATATGGGATATGAACGCCTTCATGGGATTATGGTTTCCTAAAATTTGCTTATTATGTAAAGGGGTAATGAGAGGCCTTTTTTCATTGCTTCTGAGTTCTGGTGTTTTTATAATTTAAGTGAAGCAGGTTGCTGTAACGTTACCCTGGATTCCTAGGGAACTTATTGGAATTAAAACAAAACCAGCGTGTATTGCCGTTTGACAATTTCTTGGGATATATTATATCGTCACCACATGAACTGCTGGACTACCATTGGATCACTAGCAGTTCCTGGAGCTCAAGCAACGAATAGTGGCACACCGTTGGATCATCGGCAGTTCTAGAGGCTCAAGCGACCGGTAATTCGTTATGCGATGATCGTTGATCAAATTGGCTGCTTACAAATTCAACCGTAGATTTTGTATTTACAGGCTACAACTGCCATCATTTATCCGATAGCGTTTCGACGGTAGATTTCTATATCCACATATTACATTTGCCACTGTTATCCAATGGCTAGGAAACCCACCGGAAACTTTTTTTTGTTTTTTTTGTTTTTTTTTGAAAATATTGAATCTACTGGAATTGTAACAAAAGTCCATTTTACAATATTCTTAGGACCATTTAATTTGTCACAGGTTAAATGCATGTTTGTGGCCAAGTAATGTCCAATCAAGACTCCATTTTACTCAAAGGGCGCTACAACTCTATCGCGTGAAAGTGAAACAAACAATCAACACTTTTTTGGCACAGTTTCACAAAGATCATTTTTCTGTTCCAATTATTTTTTAAAGAAAGCTACCTAATTACCTACTTTATTACTTGACCAAGAAGATTGCTGAAGCAAAAGAAGAACGATTAAATTAAACAGATATCTAGATATTATACTGATAAGGAATAATAAAAATTGCCCATATCATTATATAGATATTATACTTTTAATATTACAGTGAAGAACTTCTACTTTTCCCTGTGAAGATGAAGAAGTTTTACATCTGAGGTCCAAGGGGAAGCCTACTCATAATTTGCTGATACATTGAGCTATTAGACAGATTGATGTTGGGATCGGAAATAGGCTCCGCCTTGGGTTCTCCTTTGGGCAACATGAAACCTATCTCGTTCCCCTGGCGTTGTTGCGCCATGTAAGGATGAATGGGCAGGACAGGAAACTTGGCTTGGACGGGGCCAATGCCAGCCATTGCCAGATTGGCCAGCCCCGGTTGGTTCATTCCGAAAGAGAAGCCATGGGGAGGCACCAAATGCTGCCTTGAAGCTGCTGATAGGCCAAATGAACCGAGTGCCCCTGCTGCAGGCCTTTCGAATCTTGCCATGCCGTTGTGACCTTGCAATGGCTCAGGCCGGTGAACATTTATGCCCGCAGCGGAAGCTTGACCAGTTGCGTTGTTGGATGGTCCAGAGTTTATATGACTGCTATTTCGAGCAGCGGGAACATCGTGATTGTGCTTCCCCTCGTACGTGGTGATCACCGACTTCAGGTCATGTGACGCTCTCTCCACATGCTTCCTCACTGTGCAGCCAGCATTAGTACACTTGTAGTAGCTCCTGTAGCCCATTACACAATTTTCTATATCTGTTAGTACTCCGTGTTCAAATTCTATTCAAATTCTGTTTAATTGTATCCACGCCTAAGTAAAGAAAAAAGAAACAGGATAACAAAATAAAATCAAGACTACCAAAGCGATTATAAAAGGTGAACACCTTGGATTTGGATTTCCTTTCACTACTTTCTGCCCATACTTGCGCCAACGATATCCGTCATCAAGGATATCTACTTCACTGGTCGTCTGGACCACAACCCGGGGCTCTCGAATAGCTCTGGTGGCTCCACTCATTTCTGTTACATGCGCCTCAATTTTCCTGAAATAGTAAAACCATAAGCACCATTTTATGGTGATGTCAATATTAAATACAAGATATCATTCCCAAAAATAGGTAAGAAGTAACCTTCTTTTCGACTCGGATTCATCTTCTTCACCATCATGACCCAATGATACGCTGCCATGTGTCCCCCTATCATCTTCATCTTCATCATTAGAGAAAGTAGATGAGGCGTCCACTGCATCACCTGATTCGAGCTGAGCACCATTTTGAGCTTGCAAAGAGGTGGATTGGTTGCAGAACTCGGGACCCACCGAGGCCGATGAGGTCACCTCAAGGTTGTCATGCCTCCAATCAACACTACCTTTTTGTGCACTTGCCCAAACTGGGTCGCCATCACCACTACTTTGCAACCCAACTTGCTCGGGAATGTCTATTTGAATATCAATCAGCGGGTGAGATGACCCAACAGAAGATCTTCGATTTGTAGGTTTGGGATGGTTATGGGACCCCTTGTAGATAATCTCTGTTATGTGGCCCTCATGAGATCTTTCAACTTTTTTCTTAACCTGACAATTCAGATGCGTGCACTTATAATAACTTCGTGGATACTCACTACCCTTTACTTGTTTTTGTCCATATTTCCTCCAATTATATCCATCTTCAGATACTGTGCCCCCACCACCTTCGGCTGTGCCATCTCCACTTCCTTTCGAATTTCCTTCTTCGTCCAGTTGCTCGTCATGCGGCGGAGAATGTTCCACACTGCCACCAACATCATCGAATGCCCTTTGATCGGCTGAGATGGTATTAGTGCCATTGTCTTTTTCAACACATGAAAGGCAAAAGTCTGCCTGGAGATGGAGTTTGTTTTTATTCTCATTTTCAATGCCGGTTGGTTCCAGAATTTGAGCAGAACTATCTGACTGCACCGACACCTCAACGCTAGGAAAAGATTGCTGACGGAGGGTGGTTGAAGTCATCTGCACATTTAAGGGAAATATAGCTCATCAAAAAGAAGCAGCAAAGCACTTTGCTTACTCATTTCTCCAACCTCATTTATGCATTTAAGAACATCTATCTGTTCTTAAATCAAAGTTAAAACTAAAAATTCAAAAGGGCAAACAAGCAGAGCAAAGGAACAGGTTCAATTACTTTGGTTGCTGCACCAAGAAAGAATGCAGAGTTGGAATTTGTAACAGGCTTGAAAGCAAAAGATAAGGCGTTTGCGTCCTCGAAGAAGTCATCGTTAGGTTTGTCGTGAGCCTCCAACATCAATGTTGAAGTCGTGCTATTGCCATTTGAGACGAATGAAAATTTTCCAGTTGTTGGAGATGGTTGTGCCTGCCGCGTCAAAAGGTTCAAAAGCACAATTCAGAAAATGGTAAGATACACTTCAATGAATCTAAATTCAACTCCAAATAAACAAACACCATTTCCACTAAATCAAAGAGATTAGACAGACAAGCATCACGGCAGTTGATCCAAATTTATTTGTACTGTCTAGACCACCAATCAAAAGTTTACGACATTCTTGTCTACACAAGGTGGTGATCATTAAGTATTTAAAATGCATTATTATTAAACTTTTAGTTAGTAAGAAGACTCGTATCACCAAAGTAGTTGAGCCGAACTAAATTTAACCATGGCTTCATGAGCGGAGGAAAAATAAATACGCTCAAGTTCACCCGGATGAGAGAGAGACACAGCCAATGAGCAATATATTTAAGCGACTAGGAATCTGGCTCATTGGTTCAAATGGTTTGAACCAAAAGGTTCAAATGGACCAGCATTTGGCCAGTATTTTTGAGATTTGATGTTTTGAACCAAAAAACCCTCCCAACTCAGGATTCAGCCTCTTTCCCTCGTTTTCAATGGTTTGAACCAAAAGTTCAAACCACAATTTTTAAACTTTTCATTTCAAACCCAAGAAGTTCAAATCATCACGTTTCAAACACACAAGCCAAATGGACTCTAAGATAAATTACAATTGCTTATGTCACGTCAAATAATGGTCATTCCACTGTGTCCTGACCATCTTTCATCTGGGATGAGACTAACAAATTGATTCTGGAATTCCCAGAAGCCAAACAAGACAACAGATTTTCAGAAGGATTTGATGCATACCAGCAAATTTGAAAGGAACACGGGAGAATCCAGGAGTGTAGTTGGACTGAGACCAGGTGATAATGCGAGTATAGAAGACCGAGTGTCAGCAGGCGCTGAAAGGTCGGGCGATCGAATGCTTTCAGTATTCAGCCTCGGAGCATTGAATCCAGCTCGGGCTGCAATCCTTTCGCCGAGTCCTCCACCTCCACGGGAGTTGGATTTATGTTCAGAAAATGCTCCAACCATTTCTGCCAACTGGTTCTTCCCAGAAGGCGGGATTTGTTGGGCCAACTCTTTTCCATCAAAGGGTTTTGGAGGTCCTCCTAGAAATAGGTCCTCTGATTTGTTAGAGAGTGGTTTAGATGATGAAATATCATCACCACCTAAAACTGCAGAGAATAATGCTCTTGGGCTTGGACTAGGAGGCACCCAATCTCCAATTATTGCAACATTTTCATCTAAACCGGCCATCAAAGTCTAAACCAATGCCCTTGGTGCTCCTCTCCTCCTAAAAGATTTACATAAATCATCACCAAGAAGAAATTAACTTATTGAAAGAATGCTTAATTCTCATCATGGCATTTAAAACATGCATAAACTCCAGAAAACAAATATGGGTTTTTGCACAAGATACAAATATAGACAAAGTGAAAAGAAAGGAAGAAAGAATCTATAATATAGAGACAGAGATTTTGTATATCTTCTACTTATTCAATTAGCTAACATTCATTTGAATGGGGTTCATTTCTCTCAGAAACAAAGGCAATCATATGAATAATGATGGGGGTTTTCATTAATTATAGTTATTACTGGGGACAAATTAAAAGGACACATTTTTCTAAATCTTTGAGAAAAGAAAAACAGAATCTTCGAAGGAAAAAAAAAAAGAAAAAGAAAAAGAAAAAACGACATTCAATACCCAAATCATTAGATAAGATCAGCTAGAAACGTGGGCATTGGGGAAAAAATGGAATTCAAGGTGAGCACATGAACAAATTTGGAATATTTATTATTTACCTAATACAGGTTATAAACTCCAATTTAAACGTGGAAAATGAGAAGAATGTTTTAAATTTAGAAAAAGCGATTAGATTCCAGAGGCGATTATAGATCCACAAAACTAAGAAATTTGAGGAAGAGAGAGAAAGGTAACAAATTTGCAAAAATCAGAAGAACAACAAACAAACCCAAGTTATGTTCTTCATCAACTCAAAACAAAATTGCAAAATCAAAACGTGTAAATTACCAGAAGTTCGCAGCTCAAAGAAGGAAAAGAGAGAGAGAGAAAGAGTAAAAAGGAAATTAGAGGAGAGAGAGAAGAAGAAGAGAGAGAAAGAGTAACAATGCTTAAAAATGATTACCAGAGAGAGAGGTGAGAGTCAAAGATTGATGATGTTGAAGCTTTGAACTTTGAAAGCAGACGTTTCACCAAACAAATTCTGTTCCTCTTCTTCTTCTCAGTTCCAACAAATTACTTTAAAACACAACACAAAGCTCTCTTCTCTTCCAACCCAATTTCTTTCATACTATGATTATGATCATAATGATGATGATGATTATGTTCTTTTTGTTTCAAACTTACTTTGTTTCAGAACATAACAAAAAGAAAAGTAAAAACAAAAAAGTAAGATGTTTTATGTTATGAAATTGAACAAAAAGAAAAAGCGAGTGTTATTTGTGTTTGTGTTGGTGTTGGTGTTGTGGTGTGGGGAGGGAGGATTTGTATTTGTGGTGAACCGGAAAAGAAACGGATGGAATCTTTGAAGAAGAAAAACAAAAAAGTTCATTTCTTTAACAAACTAACTAAAAAACAAAAATACCCTTCAAAAAAGAAAAAAACAAAAATTAATGTTTTTTAAAAAAGGAAATAGGAAATAGGAAATTACACCTAACCCATGTCTCTTATGGTTTTTCCATTCAGTTAAATGGAGAATTTTACGTTAAGCTAAAAAAAAATGACGTATTATATTATTCGCAATGCGTAAAATCACATCAAAATTAAAAAAAGTATGATAATTTAACAAAATTTAATAAAAATCAGACGTTTAGTTTTTGCTAATGATGCTTAACCAAGAAGTTATTGTTTAACAAACAAAATAAAACAAATATTCTGTCGTGTTTAAAATTATTCTTATTTTTATTTTTCATGTTTTTCGAGAAAAAAATGAAAATGATTTTAAAACGTCGTCTGACACAATTAAAACTAAAAAACAGAAATAAAAATAATTTTTTAGTTTAGTGTAAAATAGAAGAGAAATGAAAAATGACTTTTAGTCGTTTTTCATTTTTTATTTTCGTTTTCTCCTCTCTTGAGCAGAAAGAGACATTAATGAGTTTTTTTATACTGAAAATAATCTCTTGATAAAATTACCAAACGCATTTTTAAAAATAATTTATGTCTGAGATTAAAAACATTTTTATTTCCATTTTCATACAAAAAACAAAGTGCATGTTTAGAATCATTTTTTAAAACAGTTTTCACGTATTTCGAGAAGTAAAAAATACAAATGAAAACAAAACGACGTTTATTTAGCAAATATTTTAAAAATAAAAATGAAAACGAAAACAGTGAGAATGATTTTTGTGAATAAATTAGAAAACAGTTGAAAGTTATTTTTATTTTTTTGTTTTTATTTTTTAGTACTTATCAATAATATTATAATATATTAAATAATAAATTATTATACTTTTTTACTATACTCAAAATATTTTTAAAACAAACAAACCAAACGCAATTTCAGAATTGGTTTTAAAATGATTCTCAAAATAATCTCATTTTTATTATTTATTAAAAACAAAATTATTTTAAAATTAATTCTAAACGCACCTAAAATCATTTTAAAATGAGTTGTAAACACACTCTTCGTTACTTTTTCTACTCGAAAACAAAATTATATCCATTTCTTTTACGGTTTTTCGACTTAATTACGAGAAAATTTTGCGGTAGAATAAAAAAAGGTATCATATTATCAACAGTATGTAAATTCGGATGGAAATCAAAATGAACGAAAATATTTAACAAAATTTAATAAAAATCGAATCGGTATTGTCAAAAACTGCACTATAATGCCCGACAAAAATTCTCCTTCTTTTTTAACAAACAAACAAAACCTTCATTACTTTCTTTGCCAAAAAAAAAGAAAGAAAAAAAGAAAAAAAAAAAGGCCTCTAACCCTTTTTCTTACCTTAACAAAGAATTTTACAATGTTGTAGCGCTGGGTCATTAAAGAAAAAAAAAAATTGTCAATAGTACGCATAGTTCTAAACTGTTGGATTTTATCAAAAGTGTATGAGAAGTAAAAATATAAGAAATTTGGACTAAACTGAATGATTATGAGAAGATATATTTAAACAAACTAACCCAACCTTTATTTAACAAACTAAAACTTCTCCATGATTATCACTTTGGTCATTGGTGCTCCTTAACAAAAAAAAAAAAGTAAAATAGGAAATGACCCCAAACCCATTCCTTTTTACACTTTTACCAAACTGACGAGATTAGTTGTTCAAACATGAGACCATTTGGATGATGATGGATTCTAGGTTATTATAAGTTGTAACAAATAATTATGACGTCACATCCATTTATGATTAATTATTTTATTCTATATCAAGATAAATTAAAAGGTAAATTAAGTGTGTGAAACTAGAGAACTGATCATAAAGATCAAATGTATCAGCAACCAAACACCTGTATAATTTGCCCTTCGAATGTGAAGGATGTTGTTTTGAAGTTGCAACAAACTTGCTTCTTCTTTTCCTGTACTTTCATGAGCTTCTTCCATCTCTTAATTAATTACGTAGTTTTTTTAATTTGTCAGTTAGGATAATTACCAACTAGCAAAATAAAAAGTAAACCAAGGAAAAATAAAAAAAATAAAAAAAAGGTAATATATAATGTTACAGAGGAATTTGATATGGTTCATCTACGAACCGCAGTTTGGTTAAAACCCATATTTCAGCATAAAATCATTGTTGGCGAAGAGCATCTCAAGCGGAAGTTACAAAATATCCTCATTTTACTATAATATTATTAGTATCTACGCAGTATATAGTTCTATATCCGTTTATTTATTTGTTTATTTAAATATGCGAACATAAAATTAGGTATACAATTGCGTGTGATTTCAATATTTATTTTAATATTTATTTATTAATGGGTATTGTTATTTAAGCTTAAGATATCAATATACGGAAGTTGTAATAAATTATATAGTTGACCAAAAAATTAATGGTAACTTATGAAATTATAATTTTATTACACTACATTATTAAATTTCTATAATTAATAGATAACCCCCTATAAAAATAAAATTATTGAAAACTCATCCATATAAGAGATTTCAATTATTCACTTGGAAAGCAATAGATGGAGAAGGAAAAGTGATATGTATTTAACTATTTCTTGTAAACTAATTAAAAAGGACATGAAGGAAGAAGAAAGAAGGAACAAAAAAGTATGAGAAATTGGCAACAATTAATTTTCATTTAATGGCTAATGCAAAGGGTAAAGATAAACTGCAATCCTACATGGTCTAAAGATAAGAATAAACATCAATTTATTATTAAGATATTGGGCCTATTCACTTAACAAGTTAATCTTTTAAGAGCATTTTCAATGTAATGCTATAATTGATGTGTCAATTACAAATTTAATATTTGAGTGTAAAAGGCACTCTTAAATACAATGGTATTTGTTGTGCCAAATTTTACATATGCTATACTTTGTGGCAAATTTTTCACCAAGTATAACATATGTGAAATTTGGCATTTGATTGCTATTGGTTGAAGTGTTTACTTTTGTTGGTTTTCGAAACGATTTCGGATGCAGAAACATGTGAATAGCAGATCGCGTATAACAAAAATTTTCATAAAACCTTTGAGATACTCTATAGATTATATTAATTTATGCATGAATAAATTAATCACATTAATGTATTTATTAAGAACTCGATTAGGAATTATACCTAGCAGCCGATTATGATGATATCTTGAGTTCTTTGACCTCGAACGTTCCTTGCTCCAAAGCTAGTTTAGAAAACCAAAGTCTTCATCGTCAATCCTAGAATCCACGAAGACGTGTGTGTGAGCACACCTAAGACAAAACAAGATTAGCAATAAAACACTCGAATTTTCCACAAACACCAACACATGCACGACATGAAATTTTTAGAGAAAAATTTTCCTTCCCACTCTAAAAATATTCGGCCACAATTAATTTTTTTTTAAAGAGAAAAATTGTGTCTCACAATTTTCTACAGTCTATTATTTATAGAGTTGTAGTCAAACTCATAGAAGGAATCCAATCTTTATCTCGAAGATAAAGCTTATCAATTATCTCTCATTTGAATTTGGAACAAAATCTCCCTTCCCTTATCTTCTTGATATGGCCGGCCACCATAAGGGATTTTATCCCTGTGGTAGGTGTCAATTACAAATAGGAGAGGAGGAAAAATCCTCATTTATACCGTAGTCTATTTTTTGACTCAAATTCAAATTCTAAATTAAGTCATACTTAAATCAATTGAAATTCAAATTGAACAACTTATTAAATAAGTTAATTGGATAAGTATGAAAGCAATCAATTTGAATCTCAAAAGGATTCACACGGTGCTGTGCGTTTACACTATGTGAACACCTTCCCATAAGTGATCCAAAATTCAAATTTAAATTTAAATAATCACATTATTTAATTTATAATTAATTTGTAATTAATTATCCTTAAGTGTTTTATTTAAGAACTCCGTAATTCTAAAATTCTCATTTTGCCCTCTGTGTCTTGTGAAATTACAAGGACGACGCGGAGACTTATGAACCTATAATTTCGAGCTTCAATAAAATTAATAATTAATCAAACACTTTAATTAATTAATTAATTCTATTAATTTCAATAGTTACTCCATTATAAACTTGGAATTGCACTCTCGTAATTTTAAACATAAATTACTTCTAAACTGTGAAGTGTCCATTTGATATAGCCATTGCATATAGATCAATTCTCCATAAATATTTCATAATTATAGCTAGGTGAAATCCGTTAACCTCTCTACTTACATCTTTATCCATGAGTACCATTGATTCTCTAATGGACAGTGATTCATAAAACACATTCATGAATTAGTGTGCTCTTACTAATCCAAGTACCGAATCAACACTGCAAGAGACTTATTTATGTACTTCTTTTCCAAAAAAGAATGGATTCCATCTCGTATAATAACATTCTCGGCTACCCACTTCATCATGTCTCCAAAATACAAGGAATAAGATTCAGGATCTCAGAATCCATACTAAGTAAATCAAAGGACGCAAATTCATAAATATGAGTATGCTAAGAACTCATAATTAAGATCTTTCTATATATGATCATCGGTAGACTCAATTAGAATTTTTATACTTAATGAAAATTATCATAAATTCATATTGTGTCTGTGTCCCTGTTCCAAATAATCTCATCATGCTTAATACACTCATTCAATATCACGTGATATCAATAGTGCGAATAACACATTTTCATTCTAAATGGGAATGACATGTATTAATAATATTTTAATTAAAGATTACGAGCTTTAATTAAATTCAT